CTACAATGAGTCCCAGCACCTTGTAGAAGAATCATAAGTATTTGTTGCTTAAAGAAAAAAAAACTGAACAAAAAAATGTGACTTTCAATTTAATTCTTTGGTGCTTTCATTTTGAGCATTTATTTCTATTGCAATAATAATTTACCTACAATATTGAAAATGGTAATAAATCTTCCTGGCGGAAGTCTCCATTATTTGATTCAGAATTTTTCCAATGACCATTGTAACCTGAAGAACAATCTTCTACTGGCTAATCCTCTACCTCCAAGTACTGGGATCCCATATGGGCACCAGTTCATGTTCCCACTGCTCCACTTCACAGCCAACTCCCTGCTTACGTCTGAGAAAGCAGTGAAACATTGCCCAAAAGCTTTGGGAACCTGCCACCAATGTGGGAGTCCCAGAACAAACACCTGGCTCCCAGCTTTGGATTGGCTCAGCTCTGTTGAGGCTATCCAGGGAGTGAACCAGTAAATGGAAGATCTTTCCCTTCCTCTCCTTCTCTCTGTAAATCTGCCTTTCCAATAAAAACAAATAAATCTTTTTTAAAAATCATGTATACTTATTAAATTTAACACCATTAACATTAATGCTTGATTAAATTATTGTGTGCCCAGAAAGCTGAGCTGCTCAGTGATTAAAAACGCAACTCTACAGCCTGCCATAGCAGCCTAGCTGCTAAAGTCCTCGCCTTGCACCCACTGGGATCCCATATGGGCGCCGGTTCATGTACTATGTCTCATTAGGTATCTTGGAGGAGTGGAAAAAAAAACAAATTAAACTTTTTCTATATTCAGATCATTAATAATAAAACACTGATTTTTTTTTGAAAAGGCAATTTAAATTTCAGAAATTTATTCTAGACATAATTATGCAAACCTAAAGAGACACATACAATGAAGCCACAACAGTGCTTAGCCTATCGGAAAACTGATTCCTAATTGTCTTTCAATGGGGAACAGGTTATAATTTGGAAAAGGATCAAAAGAAATAAGATAAAAAGCACTACACCTTCAAAGAAAAGAGTAACTTTTGTTTCCTAGCTGAAAATATTAATTAAAAATAAAAGCTATAGCAGAGTTCTGTTCATTTTTTTAAAAGTTTTAGTCTACAACTGTCATGAGAAAATATAAGTGACACTTTGAAAAATAAGACCGTGAGATCAAAGGAAACCCAATGTCATTTTATAACCTTGGAGCCAACTGCGGTTTTATTTATTTTTTTTCAGTCTTGTTTAAAAATTTTTAAATGTTGAAATAAAGCTGCAATTATTCACATTCTATCTCTATAGCTCTGGCTAATTTCAGAGTTTTATACACATAACATACGTACATGCCGCACAGGGACCTCATCTGCAATGAGTCTGATTTTTTTTATATAATTAATTTATTTTTATTAGATTTACAGCGAGAAGGAGACAAGAGAAGGGTTTCCACCTGCCGGGGCTGAGCCAATCCAAAGCCAAGAGCCAGGAGCTCTTCCAGGTCTCCCACTTGGCTTTGGGCTGTCCTCAACTGCTCTCCCAGGCCACAAGCAGGGAGCAGGATGGGAAGTGAAGCAGCCGGGACATGAACCAGCATCCATATGGGATCCCGGCAGGATGCAAGGTGAGGACTTTAGCCACTAGGCCACTGTGGCGGGCTGGATTTCCATTCAGATTTGCCTACAACAATGAGCTCCTTCAGAGCAAGACACAGATCTGCACTGTTCATTTTTATATGACCAGCACCAGCAGAGGTCCTGGCATATACCAAGTGCTCAGTAAACAGTCATAGAATTTTATCTGCAGAAAGTTCATTCAGCAACTTCACCAACTTTTAAGGTACAGGAGCACTCATTCTGACAAAAAGAATGCTTGCTTGCTTGCCTCTCCCTCTTTCTGATCCCTATAAAAAACTGAAAGGTCTTTCTTACTTTCAAATAAATGATGACTAAACAAGCCACATACCACATAAATAATAAAGCTTCCACAAACAAAACTCAGGAAAGTGACATTCCAGAATGAAAGGGAAAAAGCCCAGTCTGGAAATCAGGTGAGTGCAAAATCCAAATGCCTTGTTCTGCTAGTTCACACTTATGTAAATAGTAACCTGAGTCAAACAGCACACATCATCTCAATTTCAGTTTCCACACCCAGAAAAATGGGGGAAGTAACACCTACGTCATGGGGCTAATCTTTCTTTTTCGAAGTCCCTGCTATCCTTTTTCCCTTTTCACAAATGGTTAAAACAGCAGTTGGCTAAACAATGCCTAAAAGGTAACTTCTTTCCTCAGCCCTGCTTTATCAAAACGCTCACTTATTCAGCAAAACAGACAGGCCAACTGGCTGATGTTGCGACTCTCAGTGGGTCCACTGTGGCCACTTTAAAGGGGACCCTTACAAAGAAAGCTCCCGAGTCTATGCGACGTCACCAGCTTCTGCTTCTTCTCTTCTCAGGCCTGTTTCCAATGAGCTTGTTCAGAGGTATGCAATGTAAGGAAGCGTATCTTAGCGGTAAAACAAAACGGGAGCATGTAAGCAATACACATTCCTTGAGATACCAAACCAAAACGAAGCCACTGAATTTCAATATTGTTTTAAAGACTAGGTGGTGGTAGAAAAAAGGAATGGTGGCCTTGAAATAATTGATGAGAAAAAGAAAAAAGAAAGTGCAGGTTGTTATTTAAAAATAATAATAGCAACATGGGGCTGGCATTATGATTCAAACTAGCCCTCCACCTGCAAGCATCAACATCTCCTAAGAGTACCAGTCCATGTCCAGCTTGCTCCACTTCCGATCGGGCAACAGAACATGGCTCCAGTCCTGGGGCACTGTACTCAAGCGGGAAGCCAACAGGAGGCTCCTGACTCCTGGCTCCGGAATGGCTCAGCTGTGGCCCTTGCAGCTAGTCGGGGAGTGAGCCAGCAGATGGAAGATCTTCCTCTCTGTCTCTACAATGCCTTTCAAATAAAAAATAATAACATGTAAAACAACTGAGTGGAGAAGAAGTTGTTCCAGTTTCATTAACACATGGCTGCTTTCCATTCACAGAGGGAAAAAGCAGAATGATTTGCTAATTCCAATCACCTGAATACTTACACTTCATTTACAATCCTGTGTATCTTCCATTAGATGCTAGCAAAAACAAAAACCTAAGGAACAGAATTTTCTACTACATGTCTCTAAGTACACTATTTTTCCACTCCCTAAGGTAAGGTCCTTGATGGCAAGGTTTCCGTTTTTTTCCTCATAAATGACTTTCACAGGAAGAGATGAGTCAAAGAACTTTTAACACAGTTGGATTTCCATTTTCAACAAGGTAACAACCCACACTTCCTCCCACAAGCCCCACCTCCAGAGAATTCACAATAGGGCTACGAAAATATACTGAGCCATGCTTTCCATTGGTCAATGACTTTCAACTGAGAGCAATAAAAAGACCTTGCACTCCAAGACCCCATTAACAACTACAATCCTTCCCCTACTTAAATTTCCAATTCTGGGGGAAAAAAAAATCAGGTCAGCCCACTAAAAGCAACTGTAACAGTTCCAGAAACCAGAGACTGATGCACACCATTATTATAATGCAAATATCCATTATGCAGCACCAAGGAGCGCACACTGCCGCATCTGCCATCTCAAGAGCGTTCTGTTAGAGCTGCACCGTACACAGGGAAGTTGCTTTTCCAAACACAAACACCACACTGCAGCCTCACTGCAACGCCCAGTCCTCACCTTTCACACGGAAGGTAAAGATCACTGGGCCTTGTGTTGAATTTACTCTCCCCAGTTAACTGCATTAGCGGGCTTCCAGGGCAGTGGCCTAAAGAAAGCCATTTGAATCAATAACTGTATCAATGCTACTCAGATTATGTGCAAATAAGTAAATTAAATGCGCGACCCAGCCCCAGCTGCAGGAACACTGCCTCCTCCCTAGCATCCCAAAGCTCCATTCAAGACTTCACGTGTGCAAAGAAAGCTATTCTTGAGCAGAGTTGCCCAGGTCATCAAAATCACCACTCTAGCTTATTTCATAATATCTATGTTGTTTTCCTAAAACACACAGCAGTCGCTACAGGACACCAAGAATTTAATCAGTGCTTTTTAGAGATATAAAACAATGGGTTATGCAGTGAAGAAAACTGAATATTGCTATTGAGACCATATATAATTAAACCCATGCTTTCCCAAAACAAAGCATCATAAATACAGCCCCAGAAACGTCTGCCTAGGCTGCCTTGGAAACCATCCCAGTAAGCCAGGTACTCCTACTAGATGTCTGTCCTGAGAAAACCCTACCCACCCTCCAGACCCCCACCCACAACATTTTGTGTTTTTTTTTTTTAATCTGTGGAATTCTCTGCCGGCTCCGGCCTGGAACTGGGTGGACCCTGGGAACAGACACCACATACGGTGTTTGGGAGGTGGCCCTAATGGATAGGTATTGATTGGCAGCATAAAGCTGTGACCTTTATAAACTTCAATTTGAGAGTTTATACCATTAGGGATGTCCTCCCCACTTCTTTTTTGAGTAGGGCAGGAAAAGCAATAGGATGAGTTTCAAAATAGGAAGAAAAAAACAAAAAACCCACCACTTTAATTAGGAACCCTCCCAACTCAACCAACTGGAAAAAGTAGCCAAATGGAAAATAGCAGTTTTGGTTCAGATCTTTTTGGCTTTTGTTTTTTTGGTTTTATTTTTTGTTTTGTTTTGTTTTTTGTTTGGCACATGCACAACTGGTAAACATGAGAATCACAACTTCAAGGTAAGGAGGAAAGAATTAAAAGCAGGAGTAGAAAAAGAGGAGCAGAGGGGCCTAACGCGGGGGGCCCCCCTTGCTCAGAAGGGCCCCTCTTGGTCCTAACTCCTCCATGCGGGGCACCCAGGCTGGAGGAAAGCAGAGGGTTACACAGAACATTTAGCAGACTTAACATTGGATTAAACACACTACTGCAAGTTTCAACAAATGTTCATCGCATACGTAAAAACACATTTACAACAAGAAAGAAGAGAGGCACCTGGAGACATCTGACACTGGGCATGCTCTGCAGGCAACTCAGTGCGCACATGCTCTCTACCAGGTTGGCGCAGCCTAGCCACAAAGACCTTGGCACAGAACACTGCAGGATGACAAAAAGGAAGGAAGAGAAGAAGCAGTTAGAGGCCGCAACAAATCACTCCTTCACGCAGGCAACTTGAATGTTAGTTGGGGCAGGGGGTGCACCCGTGGCAATGTGGGGGTCAGGGAGAGTCCCTTACCGAAACCTTGGGAGAGGGCCCATTTTCTGTCCTAGCAAAGGAGGTTCCTGCCACCAACTGCTAATTTCTCAGGATACAGGGGACAGAATCAAGAGGGAGAGAGAGAAAGTTAAAATAAAACCCGCTACATGGAACTTTGACAGTCTTGAGAATAAGCAAGATTAGTGGTGAGAGTGCGACTCCAGTTTCATAAAAGTAACAGTTGTCTGTCTCGTGTACATCATAATCGCCTTCACTGCTGAAGAACGAACCTACTGTGTGCCACACTCACTCCAATCCTCACATCACACTGCAGTTCCCAAGGCCCAAAGATTAAGTGATGTGCACAAGGACACACAGCAAAGGACAGCAGAGTCCGAATGTTAAACTTCAGTTTGCTACCAAAACCCACATGCTTTCCAACAACACTAGCACACACAAATTTTGATCACCTCTTTCATCTGAGCACAGCTTTGCACTTCCGTAAAGGTAAAAATCACCGGGGATCAAGACAATAAGGCAAAAGAAAGGCAACAGGAAAGGTAAGTGACAGATTGAGTTACAGACACTAAAACCTGCTTTAAAACACATCTCATTCCCAGCTCGGTGGCCTAGCAGCTAAAGTTCTCGCCTTGCGCACACCAGGATCCTATATGGGCACCGGTTCTAATCCCAGCAGCTCTGCTTCCCATCCAGCTCCCTGCTTGTGGCCTAGGAAAGCAGTTGAGGACGGCCCAAAGCCTTGGGACCCTGCACCCGTGTGGGAGACCTGGGGTAAGTTCCTGGCTCCTGGCTCCTGGCTCCTGGCTCCGGATCAGCACAGCACCGGCTGTTGCACTCACTTAGGGAGTGAATCACTGGACAGAAGATCTTCCTCTCTGTCTCTCCTCCTCTCTGTATATCTGACTTTGTAATAAAAATTAATAAATCTTTAAAATAATAAAATAAAATTAAATAAAAATTTTTAGAATGTCATGATTTTCATTTTGAACTTTGTTTACAAAGTTCATTTGACAGGACAAAGGTTTAAAAACTTGTTTCATTTATCATTTCATTTATCTTGTCAAAGCTTGGTTGTCTTAAAGAAATTAAGATAAAAAATAAAATATAAAAATGAACACACAGTACTTAACAACCATCAGGTTGATGATATGAAATAAGTTTTTTTTGTTTTGGGGGGGTTTTTATTGCCTGCTCTAAGATCCATTACAACAGCAAAAGTAGTCATGAATAGAAAAACAGAAAATGAGTATTTGAGTTCAACCAAAATACTCTGGAAATATTAGACTCATGCTCATAAATTTGTTGATCCTAGCTATAATTAGAATGGGCAAATATTTTTGTTTACCTGGAATGGTACTGGTTTACACTTACCATCCCAGAATAACTTTCCCTGTCAAAAACATGGGCTATAATGACCCCAACCATGAAACAGACTGCCTGCATCAGACAGACTGGCTCCCAGCCAGCATTTGCTATTAGCTAGTTATATCTTAACTACAATGCAAATTTCCAAAGCCTACTGTAGCCACTATATCACTGTGCACCACTTAGAATTCACAAATTTAAAATTCTGTTGCACCACAGTTTCCTGTCTTAGAGTGCCAACAGAGAAATGACGCTAAATAAATATTTGCATAAAGCAATGAAAGCAGCTCCACTTGCAGAGCTCCTGTAATTTGTCAGACATGACACTATAAACTTTCATTTTAACCTTTATAAGAAAAGTGTTATGAGACCCAGTGTGGTTTCTATGCCCTTATTATGCTCCGGTTCATGTCCCGGCTGCTCCACTTCACATCCAACTCCCCACCTGTGGCATGGGAAAGCTATCCCATTTTACAGATTAGGAAATCAAGAATCAAGAAAAGAAATTGACTTACTTTAAAAGTCATTTGTCCAAAGTGCAAAGCAATAAGGGTTAACTGACAGCAGAGAAAAGACCAGAAGTTAATCCTGACTCTAAGCCATTTTTCATTCCACTGCACCACACTGTCATCCAGAGATACTCAGGCAATGGCTGATTAACAGAGTACTTCCATATGGAACATCAGAAGTGGACGAGCCGAGAAAAGGCCCAGGCACATCATGTATTTATATTACAAAGACGCTGCAATTTAAATAAACTCTAACATCCTTGTAGCTTAAGTGTCCTCTCTGGAATCTTTGCAATTAATAAATTTACATAATAACTCAGAAACAAGGTTGGAATTTAAGGATTTCATCTGCATTCACAGAAAAGCAGGGAATTACCAAAGTTTACCCATAAACACATTTTCATATTTTCACAAAAATACTATAATAGGCATTACCTTACCCTTCAAAGTGACAATACAATTTACGCATTCAAAAATCTCAGTGTTGGGGCCCGGCGCGGTGGCGCAAGTGGTTAAGTCCTCGCCTTGCAACCCCGGGATCCCATATGGGCGCCGGTTCTAATCCCGGCAGCCCCGCTTCCCTTCCAGCTCCCTGCTTGTGGCCTGGGAAAGCAGTGGAGGACGGCCCAAAGCTTTGGGAACCTGCACCCGCGTGGGAGACCCGGAAGAGGCTCCTGGCTTCGGATCGGCATAGTATCGGCCCGTTGCGCTCACTTGGGGAGTGAATCATCGGACGGAAGATCTTCCTCTCTCTCTCTCCTCTCTCTGTATATCTGCCTTTCCAATGAAAAAATAATAAAAATAAATCTTTAAAAAAAAAAAAAAAAAATCTCAGTGTTGGGTGGGGCTTTTCCCTTTATCTCCTCCTTTACCCCAGACACAGAAAAAAGAAAGAATGTGGAAAGGGCTACTTTCCTGTAGCCCTTGACCCTTTGTATCCTAATTAACCATGTAAAGATCATCAAAAATATAGAAATTTTTTAAAAAGTAATCTCACAAGGTACTGGGTTGAAAATAGGACTGAAGGCCTGGTGCAGTATCCTCGTGGCTAAAGTTCTTGCCTTGCATATGCTGAGATCCCAGATGGGCACTGGATCAAATCCCGGCTGTTCCGCTTCCCATCCAACTCCCTGCTTGTGGCCTGGGAAAGTAGCTGAGGATGTTCCAAAGCCTTGGGATCCTGCACCCGCACTGGAGACCCAGAGGAAGCTCCTGGTTCCTGATCAGCTCAGCTGTCATGGCCACTTGGGGAGTGAACCAGTAGACAGAATATCTTTCTCTGTCTCTCATTCTCTAAATATCACTTTCCAGTTAAATAAATCTTTAAACAAAAATAAATAAATCTTAAAAAAAAAAAAGAAAGTTTCATTATCCATCTGGTAAGACAGTGATAGTTAAAAGTTATCAGAAGTGACCTCTTCTCATATTCAATTACATTGGAACAAACTGATGAACTTTGTATATTACTTTTACCATTTTATTACATTAACTATATTTATTTTTTATTTTTATTTATTTATTATTCCGCAGACAATGTCACTCTAGAAAATACACCCTTCTTAACAAGGAAGTCTATACATTCTGGCCTGAACAACTTCCTCTTAAGACTAATGGACCAATGATCCAATTTTAAAATAATGAATCAAAATTAAAAATTCCACATTCATCAATCTAAGAACATTAAAATGCAGCTAGGATTGATCCTTAAACTTATAATTTCAAATTTAGAAACTTGATAGAAATCCATGTTGGCCACTCTGAAATAACTATTAAATTAGGGGGAAAATTACCTTCCAATTAGCTACAGTCACAACTGAAACTACCGTCTCTGTTTTTCTTGTTCTTTTTGCTTTAAGCTAACAGTGGTCTACCTTTAAGCTTTTGGAATTACTGTTTAAAAAAAAGATTTGAAAAACTTGCCCCATATCATGGTTACTTACTAATTTAAGAAATAGTTACTGACCTACTTATTGAGCCAAGCAACAATAGGAACTAAGTAAGTCTCTTTCCTGTTAAGACTTCAGCTTCAAGCGCCAAACAAAAATCCAGGGTCACAGTGAATACACTCAAAAAAAGCTCCTAGAAAACCACCAACACAAGTTTACCACAATTTCATATTAACCTACTTTGTCCATAGAAAATAGGAAAAGATTCCTAACACGTTTGGCATTACCAGCAAATACACAAACAGACTGATTCTAGCTGTAGGCTCCAAAAACCAAAACACAACCAGCCAGGGAAACTGATAATGTTTGGCCAGTTTGCCATAGTCACCGTTTGAATAAAAATAATCGGGACCATCACGCTGAGGAACACTGCAGACAAAAGCAAGAAGAACAGCAGCCTTTGGCACCTTTCAAAAGAAAAAGTTTATTAAAAGAGGTAGCAGAGGAATATCTTAAGTTCTCTTTCTATTGCCATAGGAACCATGGATCAAAAGGAAAAAGTAGTCGCAGCCTCCTCGTCATCTGATTGGCTGCTTTGAAGAAGTGTTCACAAAAGCTAACTTCAATCTGTTTTCTAGATGGGAATGTTGTGAGTCGCCTGCCCTGGTTTTCTTCTCAAAGAGCCAATTATTTTTAAAGCTGTAAGGTATTTTATCTTAATAATTTTTGCAATGTTACTATGGTTTGAAAATCTGCCTTCTGACAGGTTTTCTTTTTCTTTAAACCTCTTCCCATAGATTACTGCCACTATCAGGCTCTTCTAACTTCAGCCATTATGCTTGAGATAATCAAGTGGGAAGGCTCAAATACACTGTGCCATACAACAAAAAGGCAAAAGACACACAGAAACCTGATCTGAACTCCACCTGCACAGTGAAAAGCAAATAAGATACCCTGTCCTCCAAGAGCCAGTAAAAGGGAATCTCGAGATGTATAGAGTAAAACAAAGCCACACCACACACCCCACCCCCCACCCAACCCCACCCACCCAGCCCCCCAGGCCACCCAAAGGAGAAGGCTGTTTGAACTAGATTATAAAGGATGAATAGGAGACAACTG